AACGGTTACCATGCCACTGCTATGTAGAGGTCCCTGGTTCGATTTCCGGGTTGGAAGAAATATTTGTATGGCCTATATTTATTTCTCTCGTGAGTTTGGGTGTAATTTGTGGTTGTCTGTGTGTGTCCATGGCACCTGTGATATAGGGTTTCCCTAATACTGGGGCGTTGCTTCTCAAGAGTAGTTCCTTTTATAACTTATGACTTATGAGATTTGTTCAGAAAAAAAAGTATTGAGAAAGAGACACAGAGCTTTTTTCATTGGTTACTTAGGGTTAAAATACAATCACATGATAACATAGGGATGGTCTAAAACACGTAATTTTTCAAAAATGGAATCCTGAGCGAGAGTTTCAAGACACGAGACGCAACTTAACTTCCGAGCGGAACACACAATTTTTTACCTCACTATAGCGAGGAGAATGGTAGATGAAAGAAAAACAGTAGAACTATAACAAATCAGTTTTATTTATCGTTGTCAATTTAATGTTAACAATAATAAGAATAAAATATATCAACGAAATTATATTACATAAATAGTGTACGAAAATGTGTCATTGTTTTTATTTTTCATCACACCTTTCCCACTCTAGCGTGCAAAAAACGCTTTTACGCGCAGATTTAAGAGAAAGAAACCTTTCCGAGCTAGTGAAGTGGAAAGATACTTTGTATCATGCCAGCAACAAAGGGGTCACTAACTCAGTATTTGATGTAACGCGCAATGCATTCCTAGCATTGTTTTTCAGTTATTAATTCGCTTATATTTGCGTTTTCAAACAACCAATGTTTCATAACGGTTCTATATCAGCTGTGAGAAAGCTATAATGTCGACTTTTGTATATAATCTTAAGTCAATGACTGCAATCGTCCAAATATAAAGCGAACCTTGAAATTCCAAGCTTATATACCTTGCAAAAAAAATACATTTACACCGGTGGAAAATCGTTCAAGCGTCATACACGATGGTGTTTTACTACATTTTTAGTGTAAAAACATAAAGGAAGAGTTATATATACAGTTTATCGCTTCCTTTGTGACGTGAGACGTAATAATTTTAGTTTATGGACGACCTTAGTATTACAAGGCCCAGTTCATGCTTCAATTAGTATTCTTTCATAGTCTAGATTTTAAATTAAGGTTACCTGCGGTTAGTTTTAAGATCTGTTACTTTAAATTACTAAATATGTTGCGTTTTTGTAACATATTCGGCGGTAGAAACTTGACACGTTACGACAATATGTCATTTACGTCAAAATGTCACTTACGACATTTTAAAAGTCGATACTTTACAAAATTATGATAATTATAATAATAGCGCACATACTCAACATAGCCCCGCACTAAGGAAACTCCGTATCGAGGGTGCCATGGACACACACATTGACGATTATACAAATATTTCTCCTGGCACGGACCTGAATCGATCCAACCAGGGAGCTCTGCGTGGCAGTCCGGCATGGTAACCGTACGGCCACAGAGGCAGTTATTACCTTTATACCGACGGTGGAAATTTGTAATGTCATAAGACATTTTGTGAAAAGGGACATTTTGTCGTAAGGGAAAATATCCCATAGGACATTGCAAATTGCCATCATCGCTTATGGCAATGGATATAACCTCACCTATTTCTGCCACTGTGAGCATTACTGCGTTCCGGTTTTGAAGGGTGAGGATGCTGGTGACTTGTCAACTTATGTCTCAGGGTGACGGGCGCAGTGGGAGTGCCGTTCAGATCTTTGCGATTTAAAGCTCTAAATGGCACTGCAACTGTTATGTACAGGCGTGTATCAACAGGAGCGAGACTTGTACGTCCTGTTACTTGGTATCTAATAAAAAAAATTTACTCTTGACGTCTATAAGTCAGAATGAATTATGTGTTTAAAATTAAAATAGTTCGGAAACCGGTTACATTACTAGACCGATTTCAGGGTTAATTTATCATCATCAACCCATTTATATGTCCCACTACTGGTGACGGATCTGCTCTCAAGCGAGAGTTTGGGTCGTAGTCCGCCAAGCTGGCCCAATGCGGGTTGGGGACTTTACATGTTTTCCGAGTGTTGTGAACCTTCTTTGACATGCAGAGCGTTTTCAAATTAAATAAATCCCGAGAAATACAGAGGAGCGAGCCCGAACTCAAAACCACGATTCGAGAGGTGGCAGGTTAAACCAGTTACTACGACAATATAGTTGTAATTTTAAGCGGTTTTTATAATTACCGGTTTTCGTTAGTTTCGCTCGCTTCTAACCTTGCAAATCGGTTATTTTGAGTTCTTCTCGTCTAGTTCGTAATAAATATTACAGGTAACCTATATTTAGTTATTAATATGTGTTGTGGTGTTACAATTATACCAAACTTACGGATTTAGGCCTGAACATGAATGGGTTAGCAACTGCCTCCGTGGCCGAACGGTTAACATACCGGACTGCCACGCAGAGGTCCCCGGGTTCGATTCCCGGGCCGGGAGAAATATTTGTATGGCCTACATTTATTTCTCTCGTGAGTTTGGGTGTAATTTGTGGTTGTCTATGTATGTGTCCATGGCACCCGCGACACACAGGGTTTCCCTAGTGCGGGGCTATGTTGAGTGTGTGCGTTATTAAAAAAATAAATAAATAAATAAAAATAAAGAGACGAAATTGAAAGCATGTCTCAATTAAACCGGTTACTTTTTTAGATTATGTAAATTAGAAATTGCTCGCACAAAGGGTAACCCCAAAGTTTCTTAATAACTCTCTCAATTTGACGATTTCGAAATGTAATTTAGTTACCTATGGAATAAAGATTATTTTGAACATTGAAATAGATGTCTAGCACATAGGATGGTAATTATTCTTTTAACCGACTTGAAAAAAAGGAGGAGGTTCTCAATTCGAATTCGTATTATAGATAGTGGTAATTCTTTTCTTTTTTATTGGAAAGAGGGTACCTTAGAAGTGGTCCATATAAATTTGAAGAACATATTCTACTTGTAAGGGTTGCGAACTAGGGGATGAATGACTTTGAAAGCCGGTTTTTTTAGTACTCTGTACTGAGATTATTATTATATTTTAAATTGAAAATTCAACTGTATCGCACCTTTGGAATGAATAAATCACAATAATGGACCTACTACGACATCAATACGCATAAAATTTCTTTTCCTACTGTGTTTTAACTTTAGTAGTTCAAGAGTAACAAATTCAGTAATGTGAAAATGTCACCAGGTTGGCGCTAGCCTATGGAACGCACAGGTGCAATCATTTTTTTTTTGTATGACCATGTAATAAGAGCGAAAAAGACGTTTCGCGTTTCGCTTACCCTGCGGAAAGCCCAACGACGTTTCCGCTCCTAGTAAATTTTTATTTGTTAAAAAGCAAAACGAAACCTTATAACTAATTACAATCTAGCCATTTTACAAGACTAATAAGCAATTTTAATTTAACATAATTTCCTAAAACAAAAGTAACTTATAATAAAGAAATAATTTTTTCTGAGTGTTTTTTCTGAGTGTTCGATCTTTGTATTAATAATTATAACAAACTAGTGGAGTAATTTCACAAAAAATAATTGAATATCAATTCAATAAAAATTTAATTAATACAGTGAATATCGACATCTCTCGCCAGGACTGGTAGCTGTAAAGGTACTAACTGGGTGATAAATCTCTCATAGATTTCTCATAGATGGCGCTACGACTAAAAAGTCGTTGAAAGACCAAGTACAAACACACGACGCAAGCACATAGTAAAATTCGTGAGGTCCGTTGGTTCGTTCCGTTGCTTAGTTGGTATAGCGTCTGGTATGCAAGAAGACGTCGTCGCGAATCCGACCGGATCGAAGGAATTTTTTCTGAGTGTTCGATCTTTGTATTAATAATTATAACAAACTAGTGGAGTAATTTCACAAAAAATAATTGAATATTAATTCAATAAAAATTTATTTACAATAAAGAAATTGTCCATCGATAAAATATCTTTTGATACTAGTTAAGGGGAAGACACTTGGTTTGTGTGTTCATAGTCTAGTTAGCACTGGCACTAATGTTTATTTTATTCAATATAATTAACTACACTAACTTAAAAGGTTTAGTTCTTTGTAGTCTACGCAATGTATATGTATTGTCTAATAGCTGTATAGCCTCTATGTTCACGTGATGATGAAGTCTATGTTCGTGAGCTTCGGCGTACTTTATTATCGCTTTATTTATATGCAATAAGGTGCAGTCATGGAAGAAGAATAGAACAATGAAGTGTCTTAAGCCCCGGTTATTAATTAGAACCACTGTCGCCAAAACTCTCATATTGATAATTTGAAACTCTATGATAAACAAATTCTGGTCTGTTAACTACACAATTATAAATGATGTAGGTATTATAAATGATGATTTAGATTAGCAGTAGAGCTCCTTGTAAAAGAGTTCGTCCAGGGAAGTATAAGCCGAAGCCGAAGCCGAAGTAGGTAAGCATCTTACCTACTTCGGCCGCCAAGCAGTAAATATGCGCGTAACTAAAAATAAATAAAATAAAAAAAAAATATTTTACATCACAAAAATACAATCCATATTTCATATTTCAAATTGTATTATTATCATATTACTTACATTTTATATTACAAATTTAGATAATTAATACTGAATAAAAAAATAAAATAAAAAAAATTGAAAATTAAAAATTTTATTGACTAAAATAAAAAAAAATTGAAAATTATAAATTCAATTGACTACGTTTACAAATTTACAGTTAAAGCTCAGAATGGCATTGCAAAGGTTATGGATAGGCCTGTCGCTTACCACCTGGCGCACGACTAGTTCGTCCCTCACTTGGTATTATAAAAAAAAAAAGATGTTGGAAAGCAGAAGCCCGATTAAGCCCCCTAAAGCCCTGTGCCCGTGTCCGCTGAACTACAGGGAAATCTGGCACTGAATATCACAACGTACTCTTAAAAGTTGAGATTTTGTTGTTTTCGTATTGTAGGGTCTCACGAGAAGTGAAAATGTGTACCATTTTTTTTTATTTCAGCGAATTGAAACATGGGTGGACGTGGATACAGAAACAGAAGGACCTGAAGTAGAAAAACGCTATACACCAGAACTTCTTGAAGAATTACAAAATGCGAAAAACACTATCATGCTGATGTATACAGAGTTCACGGCACGGGCTGCAGTCGATCTCAAGATATTCAAGCGGAATATTTCTGCGTTGACTCCAGATACGATGAAGAGTTTGGGCTGGGGATTGCTGCAAAGCGCTGTAAGTTCTTGAATATCTTATATTTCTATATATGTAATAAACCTACTTTATGTAATAGATGGTCTTAAGCCAGATTGTTCACTTTTAGTTCTCTAACAATCCGCTAGATGGCATTGACCCATTTGGCGTTATTTCTAAATCGCGGTGTTACTCAAACACAATTTTGTTAATGTGAAAAGAAATCTGAGAATACAGAGAGCTCAGTAAGGCACCAGGAGTAGAGTCCCTTCTTGGGAACTGCTACCCGGATCTTCTGATATTTCGTACGCTCATATAGGGTGAATAAACCTCATCTCGCGGAACGGTTTCCAGGAGTGAGTCCCTTCTTGGGAACAACTGCCCGGACCTTCCGCATATAGGGTGAAATTGTATTGGCGACATACAAGGTGGAAATAAAAATCTTCTGAACCGTTTGGAGTTTTACTTGGCTTGTTTTGGTAACCTCATCCAACGGAAGAAAGAAACTCCGTCATTTACATATATAATTATTTTTTATAATTATTAATAAAATTATAATTTAAAAATAAGTTAAAAAAACGTTTTTTTTATTTTAGTAAAAATTTTATTTATCTTAAAACAAAATCAAAATAAGAAAAATATAAAACTTATGCATTTGTTTTTTATAAAAATTAATATTCAAAAAATTATAATCATTATTTTTGTATTATACTAGCTGTTGCCCGCGACTTCAACCTCGTAAAATTTTTACATGCATGTGTAATAATATATGGTTTGCAAATAGGGAATATGATCTTTTAGAAATACTTCGATACCCTAAATTACCCCTTTTCTTTTTTGTACCTAAATATAATAATAATATGCATATCAAAAATATTAAATTAAAATTATGATTAAATTAAAAATATTAAAATATTTCGATTGTGGTATTCCAATTTATGACGGACCATAACAGAATAACAGCGGTGCGTCGGTGTTTTGTTGGAATGAAAAAATAGCGCTTTCGCCCTTTCTAATAAACACCGACGACGTTATATTAATTTTTTGTGAAATTACTCTACTTTTTCTTTCATTCATTCTTTCATTCACACATAAAAAAATCATACAAAACATGTTTTACCGCAATGTAACACAAACTATGTCGTTTTCCCGTACATTTGCTAAATTCATCGGCGATAGTCTGGCTGCGCTTGTATATGTTTGTGGGTCTAACGGCGTGTTAATAGTGTGTGTGGTGTGATGAGCATGGTGCGAGGCGAATGAGACAACAATAAAATTGTTTGTTTATATGTGCATGTGACTGTGATTGAAACTAGTTAATAAATTAAATAGGGTGTTTTTTCTATTAGGTTAGTGTGAATATTTTATTTATATATTTTATATTTAAACAAGGTCCTAAAATAATTTATAATATACATATAGTTTATAATAGACATAACTGGTTGAAGACTGTACCACCTCAGTCAACCGTGACCATGGGACCTGTAAAGGGCCCGAAACGTCGGTTTGTTTGAAAAAACAAATATACGCGATTTAAATATATCTAAATCAGGACTGCTAACATCTTTCGTCGTATTCTTATAATAGGCGAGTGACATCGTATTTTAGTACGACACTAACAGGAAAATATTTATAGGAAACTGACAAACCAATTTGCCCTAGAATGCTACTACGGTCTATCTTATGACGCCTTCAAAATCAGCCGCTGTTAGAAGCGCTGCAGCCGCGCGACGCCCGCGCGACTGTCGCGCTTCTGAAGTGCGACCAAAGTTTTAATGATCTTTCGACTCAGTTACGCGATGGATTCTAACGAAGAAACATTACTTTAACCTAGTTCTTCGGGCACACACTTCACATATAGGTATTAAAAATGACTCACCTGCTATGTTGCAACTGAAAAAGTTGTACTTTCAGATTCAAAATTTTCAACAAGTTTTAGACATAAATTTTCCCATGCCTTTTTTTATCCAGTCGATTGGAATAACTGGCGGAACAGCTATCTCATATTGCAGGATGTTGTTTTACATTCTCTATAATTCTTTCATTCGATCGTGGTTAAATTGGAAAATTAATATCACACCTCACTAACCGTGGCTGCAACCGAGCGTGACTGTTGCAGTGCCTATAATTTCACCAGCACCCTTACCCTTTAAAACCGGAACACAGTAATGCTGACATTACTGCTTGGGGGCAGAAATAGGTAAGGTGGCAGTACTTCTCTGGAGAACTCATTCACAAGGACCTCTACTGCTACTTGGCAAATCATTTCGTGTAACTTCGAATTGTTACACCATTGACTTACAAATAAATGGACGACGGGTCTAATACAAAAACCACGAAAAAAATGTCCCAAGTCAACCTATTTAAACCTAGTGACATGTAAAGGAATATGAAAAAGCTAAAACGTTGAATTTAAATAGTAATGTCATCGCAGTACTGTCTAATTTTGCTTGCTTCGCTGTCAGTCGAACAAACGAAGACTAAAGCGTGAATGACGCTCTGTATACGATTTTAACGTCCTATAAGTTCGGACACTTTTTAGCGCGGACCCGACGTCCATATAATTGTAAGTCAATGTGTTACACCAAAAAATCACACTAAACAAATTTGATTTCATTTCTATTTGCCAATTTTTTTTGAAATCGGTGACCGGAAAGTGGGTGAAATTCAAGGAATCTGGATTCATCCCCTAATTGGCCACCTTGAGAGGTGGAATACTTTCTTCAAAGAAGGATGGCGAAAGCTGACCCAATAATTATAAAATCAACGAAGAGCCGTTCATGGACTTTGCTAGTATAATTCTACTTTTTAGTTTATGTCTAATTATCAATATATTTTTGTATATTTTTAGAAGTCGGGAATAAAAAAATTGTAAAACAATGTATTTTAGAATAGATGCAAAAACACAACGCAATTGTTTCAGATCGACCATAGATTAAGTAACGTTCTTGAACGTACGTTCCATTTTAAGCGTGATCGAAAGTTTATCTACCTAAAGTATTGGTTATTTTATAGTACACACATATAACATTAAAGCTAAAAAATACATAATCAAATAATCAATTAAACAGTAAGACATAAAGTCAAAAATAATACACAATGTGACAAAAATGTTTAGACAACATTTAAATGAGAGATAAGAAAGTTAGCATAGGAACGTTTTGACAAGAGGCCTCTTGCTAATGTCAATGTCACATTGTGGTTGAGAACAGTGTGACCACTTGTCGCAGATTTCTGCCATTTGGACATACAATTTTTGTTCATTGCGGCAGAACATGTTAACGTTGTATTAAATGTGGCAGAGTTCGCAGATTTGGGAATATTCAGCGAGTTTTTTATTATTTTTGGAAACAAACTGAAAACTTGTTGTTTTCTGTAACAATGTTGTTCACATTTGAAGCGAAATACAGGAAAATGTTATAAACATAACCTATGTCAACTTTATAACCCCAGCTTCTATAGACTGTACACAATTAGCTTTTTTGACGCTTTGATAATGAATCACAAGCAATGGTAGGTCTCTTTAATGCACGACCTCAAAAACACTGCGTCGCTAAAAACTCGGGATGTCACAATCCTTCTTGGAATAGGACTATTATCGAGTTACTACCTTTTCAACAAAAAAGGAATCACCGAAATCGGTTCACAAATATCGAATTGAGAACCTAGTCCTTTTTTGAAGTCGATTAAAAAGATAAAGTGCATTTAAACTAAATTTAAATGCTACGTGGCGAATTCTCAGAGAAAAAGCCACACGGCTGTTTACTTTCCAAACCGTTAACACTAAACAGCACTTCTAGTCAATACGCGGTCGTTTATAAAGCATTCTCACTCCCTTTTCTAACATAGCAGCCTTCCAGCTACCATCGGAGCATGTCGAATGGCTTTGATTATTTTGAACGCATCCAAACGAATGACAGCGCCGTTCTTTGTGCAACCTCGACCAGTTTGAGCTGTCAAATTGACGTGATGTTTGTAAACAAAGAAAATCATTGATAATCTCCATAAACGCTACTTACCCTTGATGCGAAATATAAATGCGTAATGTATGAAACGAATTTCTCTATACTTTTGTTACGGATCTTTGTTTTTTGGTTGCATGTAATGGCTTTTTTGCCTTAACGCCACTTACGAGAAATCTATGAAAGTTTTTTTCACTCCACTAAGCCGTTAAAATAAAAAAAATTGAATATCATTTCAATAAAAATTTAAGTACTAACTATTTATAGCGACATCCTAGCCGCTGCTGCTGCTGTAGCTGTTAAGTTACCTAACTGGGTGACGAAATACTTTCGTAGATTTCTCATAGATGGCGCTACGGGTGAAAAGTCGTTGAAAACCAAAATACAAAGATCAACAAGCAAGTAGAAGAATTCGTGAGGTCCGCTAGTTCGTTCCGTGGGTTGGTTGGCATAGCGTCTGGCACGGTTTGCAGGGAGACGTCGGTTCGAATCCGGTCGTATCGAAGGATTTTTTCTAAGTGTTCCATCTTTGTATTAATGATTATAATAAATAAATAGTTACACAAAAAATCCGGGAAAACGTACTTCATTTGTTTATATACTCAACTCCCGGTTTTTTAAATACAATAATTTGCACAGTCTATGGCTTATAATTTGGTTTTGAAAAGCCTTATCGTATGTAGCATTTAACATATGCTGCATGACCAATTACAACACAAGGAACAGTTGGTGAATATACCGTTAAACATGGTCGTGAAGACGTTTCTTTCTTTGAATTTTGACTCTTACTGAAACAAACTTATTTTTCCCAACAACGCGTCAAACAACAACTTCCCAGCCTTGCATAACAAGATATGAAAATCAAATATTAATATTAAATGCTGTAACGCTCTTTTTAATATAATTTTTACTTGGTGTAAATACACTTCTATAACTTAGTTCCATATAATTCTCGTTTTTAATATAATAATAATAATAATAATATTAGACAACATCACGTACGTTGGTCCGATCCCAAAGTAAGTAACTAAAACCTTGTGTTGTGGAAATCGAAAACTACGACAACGGTACCACAAACAC